GGATAGCACTCAACATATGTTAACCTTGTATTTTGCCCTGAAAAAATAAAAGAAAATTTGCACAAGGGTTGGCTCAAACCCATCCGCTCACGCATAATGACCATTACTCTTACCACTGGGACACTGGTGTTTCTCGTATATATCACTACCATCAATAAACAAATAATGAAATTAAATCATAAACAAAATGAAACAAACATGCGTGCTTGGTGTGGGGCCAGATGATTTAAATCAACCAATGAATGAAGGGGGATTGGACATGCAGCTTGTAACTACCGTCTGGAGAAGAACCACCATCCATGACAGGCAGCCTCATCTTCTTCGATGAGGAGATCTTGAAAACCTGCTATAATCAATCAAAAATTGAAAACCAATAACCTAGACCGAGTATTTAACATACTACGAATCCAATGGTACTATTATTTTTATATGAAAATTCTTGTAGCTAGGGTTTCGAAGCTTTGAGAGCTTTGTACGCTAACAATGGTTAATGGTTGTTCCTGTATGAAAACTTGCAAACGATGATTCTAAACAAGTACAAACATAATTATAAACATGTATATATATGCATAGAATCAATCAACAATGCATGACCTATGAGTCTGAGTTCAAGAAAGTTCAACAAACTGGTGATACTTGATCATGATGATCTGGGACGCTACGAGCTTCAGTAATGATTGGTATGAACTTTTGGGACCTTCAGAAGGCTAGTGTGATGCTTGAAATCGATTTAGAATGGCTGGAGATAAGGGTTTGACTGCACCCTAGTTTTGATAATTTTGAGATTTTAGGGTTGCTTCTTGGAGGCAGCATGCGTGTTTTCTTGGTCTGCATGTGTTATATATTTATAGGAGAGAAGCTTAGGTCAAATGGTGGGCTTGGATACCTGATAAAAATCATATCTTTGATTTTTTTTGAAAATAAGTTGAAATCTTCCAAAACTAATGAAGATTTGTTTCAAATATAGACCACACGGTTTCTTCAGCTTCAAGGTAGATTTTTGGGCCTCCAACATGATTAAAAATATTAACCATGCGCCTTAATCCAATGTTTTGTATTTTATTTGATTTATTTTGAATTTAATTGAATAAAATAAAAAGAAAAAGAAAAAAAATCACAAAAATATATGAATGGATTTAGAGGTCTAATATGAGGTCATGAACACGTTTGAACCTAAAAACTTAGACCCATTAGCCCAAAAATTCAACTTTGCTCAAAGTGGACTTCATGCATTTTCTCAAAATGGCTCAACTTGCACCAATCATAACTTTCTCAATTTTTGTTATATGAAGATTATCTTGGACGTTTTGGAAACCTCAAGATGTCTCCTACAACTTTCATGTTGGTCATTTTTTCATTTGAAGTCTTTAACTTGATGTAAATTGCTTTGACAAAAGATGTCTTTTTTGTTGACTTTCAAAATGATCTGTAAAGTATTGGCTCATATCTCTCAAATGAGGCATTTTTGGACTTAGTCTTAGAGAGACAAAGTTGTAGAGAATTTAATTTCCTCCAAAATGAGCTTTGGTTGAGAAATTTCTGATGAAGTATGTGAAAATTATGCTTGGTCAAAGTTCAGTTGACTTCTCCTTAAGAAAACCCTAATTTAGTAACTTTTGACTTTTGATGAATCTTGAGTTTTCTTGATGAATTATGATCAACCCTTTCTCAAATGATGAATGTGACTTCAAAATCTTGAAGTTGGAAAAAAATCTTGAAATTTAACTGTCAATTGGTCAAAGTTGACTTTTTGTTCAATACAATTGATTTTCAATCATCTGACTAATTGACTGAGCAAACTTGTGATGTAAGGCTTAAAAACTGACACGAGGACTCTTTGAAGTATATGAGAAACCATGAAATCCACTTGAGGCATTAAAAACTCAATTTCCTCTTAGAGAAGCAAAACGGTAGTTGTAGGTCAATTGCTTAGGATGAGGGTTTATCTGGTCAACCCTTGAGTAGTCTTGAGTACTTAAGACTTTCATGAGAATGAGGAGACCTATTGAAATAATTTGTCTCAAAGATGGGAGGGAAAATTTTGGGGTACAACAAGCGTATCTGGAAAAGTACACGTGGTTCCCTTTCTGGTGAACATTCAACATTCTTCATAACTACTAATGTTTCTTCAGAACTTACAATGACAATCTTTCTGATGCGAGCTAAATACATTTCTGATGATTCTTCAGACAACAATCCTGAATCAATTTGAATGTTTTATCTGCACACTTAAAGAACTATTAGATACCAAAATTGTTACACATAAAAAATATGTATTGTTATCATCAAAACTCATATATTATATGCATAACCAAATATTTTTCTTACATTTATCTCTTTCTAATTTTTTATGTTCACTTTATCTCATTAGTTCTTATAGCCAAATTCTTGTGTGAGGAAAGATCTTTTGTGAGTGAGGAATTTCAATGTAATTCTGGAGCGGTAGTCATGTATAATATTCTCTAAGGAGATGTTTATAACCTTGGATGGATATCGCCCATTTAGGGATAAAATATGTGGTTAAAAGTTAAATCTATTAAAAGCTTTAGTTGGAGATTATGTAATTAGTTCCTATGTTTCTTTAGGTTAAAGATCGTCAATATTGATGAACTTCCCCTAGGCACTTAGTAAGCCTTGTTTGTTTATAGGTTGAAGATCATCAATATTGATGAACTTACCATTTGGTTCATGGTTAACCTTTTTAAAACCATAGGTTAGAGGATCAACCTGTTAAAATCTCAAGAGGTTGTTGGCTATCTTGTTAAATTAATTTAAGCTCAATTATTTTTGTGGAACTTGGAGACTAACCACTACAAGGTTTGTTTTGTGGAGAGAAGACTAATCGCTTCAATCTACAATTGGGAAGGAAGCTTGGCCACTCTAGTCTCAACATTTCATTGGAGAAGACACAAATGTTCATATCTTCCGTCTTGTAATATTTTGGTTATAAGATAACCACCATTTCCTTGTATAAGGGGGCTCGTGAACTTTACCTAATAAAAGCCCTCAACCATATAATGGAAACTCTCAAGATCAATTATTGAGGAGATGAATAGGTATTTTATTTTTGACCCAACCTCTATAACTCTTGGTGTTCTTCTTCTTCCCTTAAACTCTCTAAATTCTGTATTTTACTTCAATATTTATTTTTCGCTACTTAGATATAGAAACATATTTTCAAACTCTGATTTTAATCTTGAAAAGTTTTCAAAACCACTTTTTTTAAACCACACAACTCATCCCTCTTGTGTGTGAAGTCTCAAGTATAAGAGTTATCTCCATCATTATTTCTACATAACCCGTTGATGACTATTTTGAATCAATTTCGCTAACAGATTCATGAAAATCACCATAAACTTCCTTAATAATACGGTCAAAATCAACTCTTCCTAAGTGATCTTTACACTCTCTTATGCATAAATCTCAAAGTTCTTTTCTCTCTTGGGCATTTCGGGGGATCGGTATGTTTCCCTGACCGTCACATTCACGTATTACTACCATTATAAAATTAGACAAAGAAGTAAGAAAAAAATAAGAATACCTGAAGTTGTTTTGTGACTGACTATTGATGACACAAAGCTTTAAAGGTAACTCTGGAAGAGAATTTCGAAATATTGAAATCCCAATTGTGGAGAGTTTGGAAGAGGGACGTTTGGTATTTATCCATAAAATGTTATGATTATGAAATGGCTAGGTAAGTTATATCGTTCAGAGTCATGATGAAATTAGTTTTCCCATAAAAAGTCATAGAGAAGAAATCCCTATTGATGGAACATTTAAAATCAGTACCAAATAGACATGCCATCATATGTCATAATCAGTTTGTACCGTTGGTCGGGATCTAGTTGGATCAATGCCGAGTATGGAATAGGTTTCCCATGGACGAGATGGTTTCCATGATTCTTTATCCAAACACCTCATCCTTCCAGGCTTTGTGCTTGAGGGACTTATGTACATCCCGAAATATTTGTGCCTTTAAACTGGATATCTACTGTTAGCGTCGGTAAGAGTTTATACAGTAGAAAAAGAGAGATTCTTGAAGCATGTTGGAAATTTGGGATGCTCATGGGACGGTCTCCTATAGGACATCCCGGTTCTACGAGAGCCTGAGTTGTGAGTTGACATGTGCTTGTTGGACTGCCGAGTTGTCACCCTGTTTGTAACGATAGAAGAAGGCCATGAGTTGTTCTACCGTTACAGAACATTAATGATATATGTTATGATGAAGTTTTGAGTGACTTAAATGTAGCGGCATACGTTACTTTGGAGATTCAATGATGAGAAAACGTCTGACGGCTCATTAAGCTATATCAATGGAGGTATCTAAAGAGATGGTCGTGGTATATAAATGGCACTTAGAAAATATCAGAGAATCATTGAATAATGAACTAAAAAGAATCATAGCTAAACAACCCCTTATCATTTGCAATCTCTTATGACTAGCATCGGGGTTATCCTATTAGTGTTCTTGACAAGAGAGAGAGAGATTTGTTTATCTTAATTTTTACCAAATTGTATGATTTTAGTAAAATAGTTTAAATAAGTTAAAATAAACATTTAAAACTTAAATTTCATCAATTGAAATGTGTATAATATGTGGTTCAATTTATTAGTCTAATTTATTTATTCATTAAAAAATAGTCCAATAATGCACAACGTCATGACTCATGACTAATAAGAGAAATGTTGTTTTATGGTAAAGATACTATAACTATTACAAAGTAATGATATTCTAGTAATCTATTTATATACCTACATTAAATTTAATGCATTTATATATACATATATTAAGACACTCTCAATGAGAATACCAAACACGCATCTAGTACACCCACCCGGTATTAGACAAAAGTTAGGCAGCTTATTAAATAAAAATAAAAGTATAAGGAGATAATAATGATTAATTATAAATAAAAAGCTTACTATAACCAAATTATATTAAATAACATCTTTTTCACATCATTTTTCTTCCTCTCACCATCTTTCACCAAATTGTACTATTACAAAGCGGCGTTGGGAATGGGAAACATCTGTTGAGGAAGTCTGAAACGGACCTGAGAAGCCGGTGACCGGACGGCGACGCCGTGCCAACAGATACCTCCCTTGCAAATGATCTCATCATGGCTGTGACTAGGTGGATGTTGGCGGTTGAAGGCATACGTGGCTTTACGAGAAACATCCCACGCCAGCGTTGATATTAGAATAACCACCACCACGGTGGTTGACATCATCAGAATAAAGGCTCCGGTGAAGGTTCGACCGGAGAGAAAGCCGTAGAACTTCATACAGATGATGATTGTGACATAGATTATCGTAAGGTTGCTGAGAACCGTATCAGATAGCGCCATAACAAAGAGTGTAACAGTAGATGTTTTTTTTTGAAGCGGTTGTGTTTATAGCTTTCTGTAATGTAATGCTATTTTACATTGTATTTTTTTTTTCTTCTACTTTTTTTTTTATTGACGAAGAAATACACGCATATGGTGTACTCCACCAATCGATTTTCGGAACATCAATCAAGTTGCTCCACGTGTAATTATTTGGGAATTTATTAGCCTCTTGTATTAATAAATATAATAAAGAAATTCAATTTTGTTGACTCAACTATTATTATTTTTTATTATAAAAGAAAAAAAGAAGTAAAATAGATGATATTATAATAAGGGATATTATTAGAGTGTTGGCTAACAATATTGAAAATAAAATAAAATAATTGTTATTACACCATTACAAGAGATCTTTATTGATTAGTATATAATTTGACAAAGATATTTGTATACGAATTTTTTCCGTTGAGATTGTGGTAAATAAAAGTGTGTGAATTTTCAACCAAATAACTTTAAATTAATTTTAAGAGATTTGGATTAGAGAAATAATATTTTAACATTTAAATTTAAATGTTAAAAATGTAATTTTTAAGTGTAATAATATGTTATTGAAATTCATCTAAATGTATAAAATTAAAAGATAAAAAAGAGATAAAAATATTATTTTACGATTGATTGATAGATAGTATTATATACGATGTTAAATATTAAAAATTTGAATAACACTCTTCTTTAGATAATGACGACATCTTAAAATTTTTTACCCTTGACTGAACTACATGGAGTGAATAAGAAAAATACATAATTTTCTTCAACTATTATTGAAAGAGGAAGCAATACTCTCCCTCTCTCTATCAAATTTATTTACATATGTATCCAATTAAATAATAAAAAGAAAAATGTTTTAATATTTCATCTAAAAAATTGGTATTCTGCGTAAATAGTGTCTTAGCTCTTGGAAAGTCGAAAACTCAAAACATGTGCGGTAAATCAGACGAAAAAATTTAACATGTTATCCCTTAAATTAAACATGAAAATTATTTTATTGAGATACAAATAATTTTTAGATAAAATTTTTAGTATAGAGATTGAAATTTTCAGTAGACAAAAATTCTGATACACTCCTACAAACTTTTCGGTTTATATAAATTTCTGGTATTTCGGAAATTTTAAATTTATTAGGCAATATTGGAAATTTGAGTTGTATTAAAATTTCCAGTAGTTCATTTATTCAAATTTTTTTAACGGTTGAGATTTTTCCAACATCTTTAGAGGGTCCTGATTACACCGACAAATTTGTGTGGTCTATAATACATCACCATTTATATAAACCGGGGCATATGTTATAGAGAAAAACATCTCAAACAATGTCTCTTCCTCAATTTCTGATTAAGGCAGGAGTATATTACAACAGAAGCAACTCTGCTGTTGAATTCAAGCTTCCAGGTGGCAACGTATCTATTGCCACCTTGAAAGAAATGTTGAATGTATTGCTGTCTGATTCCGATAACAGAAGGGTGACAAAAATCGAGTTTCACGACCATTATATTGATGCAGATGGTTGGGTGAAATACAACCTGATTGAGTTGAAGACCGATGAAGATGTGAAAGTCATGTGGAAAACATTTCTCCGTAGGATAACTAAAGGTCCGATCGAGTTGGATTCGGAAATCCAAAAATCCATCGACGACATAATCAAGATGCTGAAACATCCAGAATCATCTGATAGTGTCTAGGTTTTCATGTTTAGTTGTTTTTAGTTTTTGTTTATTGTACTATTTTATGTTATTTTCATCATTGATTCGAAACATGTAATCACCAAAATGTTATGCAATAAATAAGAAGTTTGTGTGTCACAAAATATACATATAATACAACCAAAATAAAACAGATCTACATAGGCCCTGTACGGGCTACGTCGGCTAACCTAGCTAAACATGTATAAATCTCACCATCAGGGTTTACCAAACCCATGAGGCTATCTAAATGAATCGCAATAAAATGTAGGCGGTTGTCCTGATCACCTACGGGTGGTGGATGTGGTGACGGCAACTTAGTAGAAACCTTAGCACGTGAATACTCCATAATATCAGATGCATCAACCGGTAGTATGCCCCAAGGGTGTGATACACTACGATACCACTCCAGGTATCCATCCTCACATTGTGAAGGATGTTGAACCACAACTGATCTATCCATGATCTTACAGGAAGAGATGATGATGTGACTCTAAAACCGTCTGTCAATGTCACCAGCTGGAGCCTCAGGAACTGGACGAGGGATGCCCTGGATATAACCATACTATGATAGACATCGCTCAGGAAAGTGTCTAGTCACATGGTTGTCCAACCTAAGATGCCCTGATTACAAAGAACCATCGTCAAATGCACGATGAGGACGATGAGATGTATATGGTGTCCAGACGACATCCTCTACGGTCAGAGCGTCAAGCCTCCTCCGATACTTCATCCAACCTCTTAGAAGGGCTTTCTTTCCCTTCCATCTCCTTGCACATGGTATAATAGTCGGGACACGATGGATCTTCCGGTAACAGATGTGGGGGAAGTGCTAGTAAATCCAACACTGCATAAATAAAAACAATCAAATAAATACACCTGAATAAATAATAAAACAATCAAATAAATTATAGTATACTCGTAAAAGGCTAAGGTAACCAGCCAGTTGTCTGGTCTCAGGATGAGTAGAAACTGTAAGTGTCGTGTACAGTATGGTCAACACCGTCAGTCCCTAAGCCCAACAAGGACTAGTGTCAAGGGTGCTGAATAGAGACAGGTAATGAACATCGATGTAAACTCCAAACTTGTCGGCAAAGAGAGTACATGCCACCAGATGTAGCATGTACACCCTAGCGACAGCCTGATACCTATGAGCCTCCATATGATCCTCGTACCTCTCCCTAAGCCAAGACATTCAAAGGTGATATCCCATGTTAACGTCAAACTCCGCTAGAACCATCGCCTCAGATGCCTCCAAATCATCCACAACCATGTGCACCACCGTCACATGGTTAATATGCGGAGGTGTAAAGAATGTACCAGTGATCGAGATGTGAAACAGGGCGTAGACATAATCCAATGTGACCATCATCTTCCCAAATGGAAGATGAAAAGATGATGTCTCTGGGTGCCACCTCTCAACAAAAGTAGACAACAGAGAGGCGTCCAACATGGTCAAGGAGCACTGAGCAAACTCTAGCAAGTAAAAATATCTAACCATTCTACTGACCTCCTAAGGCATGTCACCCTCTAGGAAGTTCTTCAACTTTGAACCATGGGAAGTGACCTTCAGCACCAGACGCTCTTGTAAGAAGCAAAAATAAAATATTATACATAAAATTTCAAACATTTGCAAAAATAAAATATTATACACCAACCAATTGAAATATATACCTTTCCATGCCATATCATGTAACCTACATGGTTAGCAAATCCTGTGAGCACGAACCTGTCTGAAGGTCCTCATGGAAAGGCTCCATCAGTATAAACTGATGGCTCTATAGACGTACGATTTGTGGTGTCTGTATCAGTGGGAGACACCTCATCAATGCGCTCAGCAACAACCTCATGAACCTGCTCTATAACCTACTCAACTTTTGGATCCATAACCTGCTCGGCAACCGACTCCATTACCTGTTCAGGAATCGACTCCATGACATGCACAACCTCCTCAATAGCCGGCTCAATCACAAGCATATCAACAGGATCAGGAGCATGTACCTCCTCAATAGTAAAAACTCTAAGTCCTCGATGGTGGGGTGCATGGAACTGTGCCTGCTGCTCAGCCATCCATTTCCAGTTAGAACTGGTCGGAGGACGTCATCTTCCCGTAGCTCAGAAGCTTGTGCCTCCTTAGCACGGGCCCGAGATTCTACTCTATCATGTGAGTGCAACTACACTAATAGATGTTTTGTATGATGTCAAAACTCGAAAATCTAGCATTTCATTATGGTGGACAATATCCTTATGTCTTGTGGCACTCCTTTGTATTGGTCTTAGGAATCATTAAAAAGCATTTTGAAATTGATCCAAGCCATTAAAAATAATTTTCTGCATACTTTTTTACCGCACATGTCGACACATCCGCTTTTCAGGTCGACACATGTAACTCATTTTTAATGCCTATAGCTTATGTAAGTCACAGGTCGACACATGCAATCATTCAGGTCGACACATAATGAAGTATTTATGAAATTGCATAAATTCTTATTTTATGTGTCGACACATAAGTTTTTCAGGTCGACACATTTACTATCATTTTAAAGTCTGCAGCCTCTGACTTAGTTCGGTCGACACATAGCCTTTTATAGGTCGACACATACAGTTTAAAAATTGTGTATGTGTCGACACATATGATACTTAGGTCGACACATACTGTTTGTTTGGTCAATTTTCATAAAATATTTTTATTCCAAATTTGTCCCTTTTACCCTAAAAGTTCCAAAATTATAAATATATCATTCATGCATCATTCCAAGTTCATGAAATCATAAAATTAGCCTACTTTTCTCTTCATCTTCAGCCTCCAACCTATGTATACACACTAACATTATATTACGATGATTTTCCGTTGGGGTTTCATCTAGACGAGGATTCATAGTCTCCAAGTGAGTATTGGGTTGAGCTTTGTAGGGGTTTCATTTGAAAAAACTCTTCGTTAGGGTTTTCCCTCCAATATTCGTGTTGGTGCGGGGGTTTTACGACAAGATTGGTCAAGAAGGAATTGTCCATGTGAATTCTCTTAGAGTGTTTTAAATCTTTGCAAGGTAGTAGCAATAAGGGGCTGATAGATTTGAAGATCTTGTGTGGATAGAGTGCAATCGGATTTACTCGAGTGAAATCTCTTGGAGTGTTTGAAATCTTTGCAAAGATCCTTGGAGTGTTTAAAATATTTGCAAGGAAGTAGCTTAAGCGATGAATATGTTGCATCTATTGGTGTTGGTCTTGATCAAAGATCAAAAGAAGAGAAGGGGTTGAATCAACAACAAGCATTAGGATTTATGG